ATTTCAAACAAGTTTTTCTAGTGACAATGTTAGGTATGCTTCCACTATCCGTGTGGAAGTTATATTAGTGTTTCACTGGGGTTTTTCAGGTAGGAGATTATGTTCTGTTCACCACATACATTCTCCAATTGTATTCTCCATTGAACTTTTTCGGAACAGTGTATAGGTGGGTTTTTTTTCAAACCGAATATTTGTGCTTTCTTCGAACTCTGTGCTTCAAATAATTGGGATGAACATGATTTAGAACTATTCAAAAGTCTTTCATTGATATGGAGAACATGTTCGACCTAATGAACGAGGAGGTCGATGTGAGTTTTTCGCTCAACGGTATTTTTGACTTCTTAAAGGCAGTGATCATGATGACTGGTGGGTTTTGCAGTTCTCGTGACGCCATTGGTGAAAGAGCGTTAAGTGGCAGCCCCAACCACACCCCTTGCGCGCTAAGAGGTCTCCGACCACTAAAGTTCAACGACGTCGTCAAAACTGCACGGCCCTCCGGCCATCGTGTTCACTGCATTTTACTTCCTGCAGAGTTGGATTAGCCAGAAGTGGTCGGTTTCAGGTAAGGGATATCCCAAACGCAATCGAATACCATCCAACAAATGGACAAATTGTGGTGAAAGATCTCACATTTGCCTACAACGAGAACCGAATAGTGCTGAATGACATCTCGTTTGAAGTCGGCAGTGGACAGTCTATTGCATTTGTGAGTGAACTTACTTTACAATAACTTCAGGACGGAGTTTTTTTCTATACTACACTGCCCTTGTGAGTTTCACAAATTTGGGGGACTTTTGCGGAGCAAAAGTTCAAAAAGATGTGTCCTCATTGGCATTATCCTGCATTTTAATCTCGCATTGTCAATTTTTTGTGCAAATAGGATTTAAAATGGAAGTAGGGTATATATTAGGTTGGCGGGAAAGTTTTGTCACACATTTTGAATTTTGCATATCCCCTCTCAGTTTGGCGGGATTTGAGCGTCAGCGTCAGCAACAACAGGCAAGGTAATACTGCTTCTATCAGTAACACTTAGTTGACTTTTAGTTCCCCTTTGCAGTATGGAGAATGATTTTGTCCCAGATCGTCAGCACCAGCGTCATGTC